ACTGATCAAATAAAAAAAATTTATTCTTCATTGCTATCTTATAATCTGCAATAAATATTAATTACTATATATAATTGAATCGACCCGTGTAAAAACGTAAAAGTCAAAGAATCACAATTTTTCAGAAATAAAAAAAAAAAAACTATATTTTGTACTCATAAATATCAAATTTTTTTATGACCTTTATGACCCATATAACTTATTTATTGTAAATATAATAATAATAATTATACCTAATAATAATAATAATACATAATAATAATAATAATAATAATAATAATAATAATTATTATTATTACTATTATTTTTTATAATTAATATAAATATTAATAAAATAATAAGTATTAATATAAAAAAAATTAATATAACCCGTGTGGAAAAGTGATGTGGGCCCCCAGCGGGGGCCCTTATGGATCGCCCTCATGCCATGAGGGCCGCATATGGATGATCCATAGGGGCCCCTCATGGAAACGACATGCTCATCGATGAGGGCGCCCGCATGGGCGATCCATGAGGGTGCCCCTACGGGCGCCCTTATGGGCCCTCACGTTTGCCCTCATCTTGCCCTCAAGTTTGCCATAATGTTTTTTAATCAATAATATTAATAATAAAAGTTAATTAATAATAAATAAGCTTAAGTTATGAATAAATAACATATTTATTTAATAATTATTCAATTTTAAATTAAATTCTTACTCAAATTGAATTTATTAATTAACGTTCTAATTAATTAACTGTCGGATATAATTAAAAGTAATAATAAATTAATTAATTAAAAAATTAAAAAATATTTAATTTATGCATACTATTAACGGATATTTTCATTTTTCAATTAATTCATACATAGAATTAATGATTAAACGCAAACCTGAGAAATAAATAAATCTAACGCATGGGGGGAATCGAACCTACGACCTACGGACTATGAGTCTAACGCTTTACCAACTACGCTACGCACGCTACTTCAAAACGAATGCTAACTTCTTGATGCTATTTAAACTTCAAAAATACCTAACAAAGAGAAGTGCTTAACATCATTTAGTTAAAGTTAAGATATTAAATTATATTTTCCAATCAAATGCAATTTATAAAATATAATTAATTATATGCTTTATGATTATTATCATGAATCATCTCAGGTGAATTTTCAAAAAAGTGTAAATATATTTTTATTAAAAACGCATTTTTCGTTGTTCTGAATCATTATAAACATTAATTTTTTGGTGATAAAAAAATATTTGATTTTTGGACTTAGAAAATTTTGCTAATCGATCATGAGGGCGATCCATGCGGGGCCCCTACGTTGCCCCTCATGGATTCGCCATAAGTGTGAGTGTTATTTTCAAAAAAGTGTAAATATATTTTTATTAAAAACGCGTTTTTCGTTGTTTTGAATCATTGGAAACATTCATTTTTTGTTGATAAAAAAATATTTGATTTTTGGACTTAGAAAATTTTGCTAATCGATCATGAGGGCGATCCATGCGGGCCCCTACGGTGGCCCTCATGGATTCGCCATAAGTGTGAGTGTTATTTTCAAAAAAGTGTAAATATATTTTTATTAAAAACGCGTTTTTCGTTGTTTTGAATCATTGGAAACATTCATTTTTTGTTGATAAAAAAATATTTGATTTTTGGACTTAGAAAATTTTGCTAATCGATCATGAGGGCGATCCATGCGGGCCCCTACGGTGGCCCTCATGGATTCGCCATAAGTGTGAGTGTTATTTTCAAAACAAGTGTAAATATATTTTTATTAAAAACGCGTTTTTCGTTGTTCTGAATCATTATAAACATTAATTTTTTGGTGATAAAAAAATATTTGATTTTTGGACTTAGAAAATTTTGCTAATCGATCATGAGGGCGATCCATGCGGGCCCCTACGGTGGCCCTCATGGATTCGCCATAAGTGTGAGTGTTATTTTCAAAACAAGTGTAAATATATTTTTATTAAAAACGCGTTTTTCGTTGTTCTGAATCATTATAAACATTAATTTTTTGGTGATAAAAAAATATTTGATTTTTGGACTTAGAAAATTTTGCTAATCGATCATGAGGGCGATCCATGCGGGCCCCTACGGTGGCCCTCATGGATTCGCCATAAGTGTGAGTGTTATTTTCAAAACAAGTGTAAATATATTTTTATTAAAAACGCGTTTTTCGTTGTTCTGAATCATTATAAACATTAATTTTTTGGTGATAAAAAAATATTTGATTTTTGGACTTAGAAAATTTTGCTAATCGATCATGAGGGCGATCCATGCGGGCCCCTACGGTGGCCCTCATGGATTCGCCATAAGTGTGAGTGTTATTTTCAAAAAAGTGTAAATATATTTTTATTAAAAACGCGTTTTTCGTTGTTTTGAATCATTGGAAACATTCATTTTTTGTTGATGAAAAAATATTTGACTTTTGGACTTAGAAAATTTTGCTAATCGATCATGAGGGCGATCCATGCGGGGCCCCTACGGTGCCCCTCATGGATTCGCCATATGGATCAGCCCTCATGGGCCCCCGCCGGGGGCCCCGAACTCTTGAGGGCAAGATCGTGGCTTTTTCCACACGGGAAAATATAAATTTTTAATAATTAATTATAAGAATATTATTAATTTTATATTAATAATATTAATATAATAAATATTATTTTTAAATAATTACTTTCTTGAAACTAGAACATAAATAAAAAAAATATATATATTACGAAAAAACATTGTTTAATGATGTTTTTGCACGAGTCGCCTTAATTATATATAAAACCATGCATTTTATTAAAAAGTAAAAGTTTATCAACGAACAGTAAAAGCGCAAAATTTGCAAAAAAAAAAATAAAAAAAATATTAAATTTTATATCAATACGTACCATAAATCTTCAATTCATTTCTAACCATACAAATAGGTTAAAAAACCCAGCAGGTTAAACTTGTCAAAACAGTATATAAGTTAATATTACAAAACAAACTAAGTCAATATTAATTATTTAAAATTATTTATAAATTCTATATAAATTCTATAATATAAAAATTTATTTTTAGTATTTAAAATATTATATTCTTTTGTATTTGGAAAAAAAAATTTAAATAAAAGAATTTTAAAAAAATTGTCTTGAAATAATTTTAAAGCAAATATTTATTTAAATTTTCTTTTTAATTTAAAAATTTAAAAAAAAAATTGTATTGACTTATTTAATAATTTTATATATAAGTTTTTTTTATGTTATAATGTGTAAGCAATTTTAACCTAAACCTGAAGACAAAATTAATTTGCCTTTTTTTTAATTATGAATTTATTATCAAAAATTTGAAACGTATCAATAAAAATCGATTTTAAAAAAATATAGTTTCTTCTTTATAAGCTTTTAAAATTTTTCTCAAATTGAATAGACGCAACTATTAAGAACGAACAGATTTTATAATATTGAAAAATATTGCACTTATCAGTAGAATCACCCTCATATATTTTTTTTTATACAAAACTATTTATGATTTAATAATATTTTTTTTATAATAATATATTATTATTATATTATAAAAATTTATTATATAAATTATAATATTATAGTAATTTTAATAAAATATTTTTATATATATTTTACTATAAAAATATATTATATTATAATAATATTCATAAATTAAAATTTTCATACAAGAAAAAAAGAACAACACTTCTGAAAATTATGACTATATTTTTCGTTTTTTATAGTTTTTAGATTCAATTTTTAAATAATATATAAGAGGGTAAAAAAAAACGTTTTTTGTCCATTAATATATTAACGTAAACGCGTAAAGAAGTTGTTTAAAGTGATAATAAATATAACGCAAGGGCAAAAAACAACATATTTTCATAAAAGATATGGATGTTTTCTTATAATATCTCTGGGTTATTTACGATATACGCATATAAAACATATATGTATATACGTGAACAGTGTAAAATGATAACTATTGCTAAATAGCAACTTTACTATCATTGAAAAGTGATACTTTTTATATTTACAGCAAAAAGTCATATATATATATAAATATTACAAAATAATTTCATTATATATATGACTATTTGAATTTCTTTTTATTTTCCCTAAAAAAAAATTCAATTTGGAAAAATAAATCACTGGCAGTGTCAAAAAAAATTCTTATAAATAAATAAACGAATAAATAAACAAATAAATAATAAATAATATGATAATTATTATTTTATTATAAAATATATTTTAACAAAAAAAATATATTCTAATAAACAAAATACATTTTAATAAATAAAATAACATTTTTAATAAATAAAATGTATTTTAATAAACAAAATATATTTTAATTAATAAAATATATTCGAATAACTAAAATATATTTTAACAAATATAATATATTATAATAAACTATTTGTTTGGATAAAAATAATTACTATTATATATTATTATTTTTTTATATTATTACATTATTATTATATTATTTAATAAAAATAATTTATCATAGTATATGAATAATTTATATTATATATTATAATATACTAATTATTACTATTATATATGTGACGCTCCACAGCTGTTTTTGACAGAAATAAACTTTGCAGTAAAAATAAATAAAAGCGATTAGTTTTCAGTACAAACTATAATTATTTAATTATTTATTAGATGCAATATTTTTAGTAAAAAATGCTTTTGATGTTAAATAATCATAAAAATAAATCTTTAATAAAGCAAAAACTACCATGAACATAACCTAAAATTTTAAGCAGCTAAGCACCCTTTCACCGTGGAGCGTCACATTTTATTATTGTTATATTATATTTTTTATTATATTGTTATTGTAATAGTAAAAAATAATATAATAATTATTTATTATTTATTTTGTCGTTTATTTATTGGAGTTTAAAAAAAAATTATATATATCAGAATAATGAGAGATGCTTTTTGAAAAGAAATCCATGTCTTTTAGAATAGAGATAAAGTAAAGCTCGTTTGAGAGTTTCCATATATATATATATATAGGTATTAAGAGAAACTTACCCTTGTGAGTCGTTGCGTGATAAGCTCGAGCTGTCGCTGGAGTTGGTGGTCCTGGGGTGGCCGGGGTGGCTGCGACGTAACTTCCCCCGCCACCCCCAGGGAATAACGAATACAACCCGTAGCGGTTCACACCTGTAATGAGAAACGCAATTTTTCATCAAAAACATTTTTCACATATCAAATTTTCTTTCACCCTCTCTCTCTCTCTATTTTATTTATTTTGCTATTTTTTCAGTTTTATTCCATTTTGAACTTATAAAAATACTTCAGTATTAATTTTTATTATACTATAAATAATTATATTTATAGTCCACTCAATTTCCGAAGGCGGAAATTACAATTATAATAAAAAAATAACAATTAATAAAAAAAATAACATTTAATAAAAAAAAATAACAATTAATAAAAAAAATTATAATTAATTACAATTCGTAAAAGAATTGTAACAAATTATAATAAATTTGACGCAATCTAAAGAAAGGGACCTTAGAAGCAAGAAATTATAGGTTATGTTTGCAATTTTTGAAATGAAAATACAAAAAAGGATCGTCATAATATAAATCATTGATATTTATGTCGTCATTGCAACTAAAATATTTAATAAACACTGATTTTAATTTGCAATTAAAAAAATATACTTTCAGAAAAAATTAAAACAAACATAACCTCAAAGTAATTTGCTTCTATAAGGTCACCTTCAGATCGTGACACAAATATAATACAAAAATTGTAATAAATTATTATTATTATTATTATTATTATTATTATTAAGAAAATGAAAATTAATTATTATTGTTTATAATAATACTTTCTAATTTACCGTTTAGAAATGGATTGAAAAAAAAAATATTTTCTTTACTATATATAAAGGAATATAAATTATGCTTTATCGCAGGTATATATGAAATACACATTAAAAGATAGTTTAAAGTACGACTGTTTAACCTCTGACCGTCGACACATACATAATCTGATAAATGAGCATTATGTTGCGCCTCTTCTTCGCAAAAAAAAGAGAGACAGAGAGAGAGAGAGAGAGAGAGAGAGAGAGAGAGAGAGAGAGAGAGAGAGAGAGAGAGAGAGAGAGAAGCACAACACAGTCAAATTTGCATTTTCCCCCTCCCTTATAAAAATATCTGTTACTATTACAATATTTTTCTATGATAAATTACAAATTTAAATTTTTAACAATAAATTGGATGATAAATATAAATTATAACGAATTTCCACTGATTCAAATTTTCATTAAAAAAAAAAAAATAAGGGATATAGTTCCGAATAGCACATACCTCCGATTTCAATAAAACTTAGTATCCCTACGTAATTTGGTGCGCTGATTACCAAAATCATAGTGAAAATTGGCGGAAATTTAATTATCATGGTAAAAACCATAAAAAACACCATAAAATCATGGTTTTTTTCGATTATCTCGTAAAAAACAAAAAACTTCGAAAAAAGTTTTAGACGAAAGTTGTAGATCTCTAAAAAACACACATTTCATGTTTTATGCATTTTTTACCAAAAGTCATTATTTTTCGAGAAAAACGCAAAATAGTAAACACGGCCTTCGGCCGCGTAAGGTACTGCTCGCTTCTCTTTTTAAGAAATCTTGGCGAGAGGGGGTGGATGTGTCCGAAAGTAATTTGCAGAAATTGTGGGGTGGAGTCTACAGCAGCGGTAAACGCAAAATAGTAAACACGGCCTTCGGCCGCGTAAGGTACTGCTCGCTTTTCTTTTTAAAAAAACCTTGGCGAGAGGGGGTGGATATGGCCGAAAGTATTTTGCGGAATTCGTTGGATCCTGAGTAATGGTGAATATGATAATTTCTGCAAATTACTTTCGGACACATCCACCCCCTCTCGCCAAGATTTCTTAAAAAGAGAAGCGAGCAGTACCTTACGCGGCCGAAGGCCGTGTTTACTATTTTGCGTTTTTCTCGAAAAATAATGACTTTTGGTAAAAAATGCATAAAACATGAAATGTGTGTTTTTTAGAGATCTACAACTTTCGTCTAAAACTTTTTTCGAAGTTTTTTGTTTTTTACGAGATAATCGAAAAAAACCATGATTTTATGGTGTTTTTTATGGTTTTTACCATGATAATTAAATTTCCGCCAATTTTCACTATGATTTTCGTAATCAGCGCACCAAATTACGTAGGGATACCAAGTTTTATCGAAATCAGAGGTATGTGCTATTCGGAACTGCACCCAAAATAAGTAAAGCTTTATTCCACGGCAATTAGGAATCATTTATCAAAATATTGTTTTTCAGGTGAGTCAGCAATGTGAGTATGGAAATTAGTAATAATGTTATTATTGCTTTATCGTAAACATATGAATAACAACTTCCGTTTCTATTTAAAAACAAAAAAAATTATTTAAACATTTTTTTTTTATAGAAATTATTTATTGAAAATATATATATATAAATCTCTAACCTTTAAAGTCAGCAACCGATGAATATACACTCCCGGAAAAAAAATTGATAAAAAAAGAAATTTGTTCATTCGCGAATTAAAAAATATGGGCACACCCTGAAGTTATTTAATAAAATTTTTTGATTAATTTTTGAAAAAAAAGAAGGTAACAGAAATTGAAAAAAAAATTATAAATTTTTCCAGTCAATTTTATCACGTCTAAACAGGTCAATACACGAATTGCAACTGATTGAAATATCTTTGGGATTTTCAATTCGCTAACAATGGTTTTATGGCTTAAGGTTACCTTTGTATGAATGTAAACATACAGCTCGTGATGCGCAGGTATAAAAAGATAATAAAATTCCGAAAATCCCCTCCTATATTGTATACAATTTCAAATAATTTAAAAATTATAATTTAAAATAATTTTAAAATTATAATTTAAAATATTACATTAGGTACTAATGCGGAAAATAATTATACTTTCTAGATTTTCAACTCGTGAAGGCAAAAAATTTTCTTTGAATTAAATATACTGTATTTTTTAATATGAAGACATTTTTTTTTTTTTTTGTTATAATTACACAACAAAATTTGTTTGATTCAAATAAATATGTAATTGATCTAAACAAAAATTTTGATTTATTTTAAATTAATTTTTCGATTAAAGAACAAGAAATTGATTAAGCCAAATAAAATTTTTGGTTAATGCAAACCAAAATTTTGGTTAATTAAAAATAGCAATACGTGTTTAATTGGTTGATTCAATCAGAATTTGGTTGCTTCAACCTCGGCTTTAACTAATTTGGTTCATTCAAACAAAATTTATTTGCTTCAACTAAACTTTTGTCGATTCAATGAGAATTATTATTTCCCTCAATCAAAATTTAGTTTAACCAAAATTTGGTTAACTCAATCAGAATTTAGTTAGTTCAACCAAAATTTGGTTAATTCAATGCTTCAACAGAAAATTTGGTTCATTCAATTAAAATTTATTTGCTTCAACTAAAATTTGGTCGATACAATCAGAATTTATTTCCCTCAATTAAAATTTAGTTAGTTCAATCAAAATTTGGTTATTTTAATCAAGATTTATTTGCATCAACTAAAATTTGGTTTATTTAATCAAAATTTAGTTCAATCAAAATTTAGTTGATTCAATTAGAATTTATTTGCTTCAACTAAAATTTGGTTTATTCAATCAAAATTTATTTGCTTTAATAAAAATTCGGTTGATTCAATCAGAATTTAGTTGCTTCAACCAAAATTTGGTTGATTCAAAAATTCAGTTAGTTCAACCAAAATTTGGTTAATTCAATCAGAATTTATTCGCTTCAACAGAAAATTTGGTTCATTCAATTAAAAATTTATTTGCTTCAACTAAAATTTGGTCGATACAATTAGAATTTATTTCCCTCAATTAAAATTTAGTTAGTTCAACCAAAATTTGGTTATTTTAATCAAGATTTATTTGCATCAACTAAAATTTGATTTATTTAATCAAAATTTAGTTCAATCAAAATTTAGTTGATTCAAAATTTAGTTGATTCAATTAGAATTTATTTGCTTCAACTAAAATTTGGTTTATTTAATCAAAATTTAGTTGATTCAATCAGAATTTATTTGCTTCAACCAAAATTTGGTTAATTCAATCAGAATTTATTCGCTTCAACAGAAAATTTGGTTAATTCAATCGGAATTTAGTTGCTTTAACCAAAATTTGATTGATTCAAAAATTCAGTTAGTTCAACCAAAATTTGGTTAATTCAATCAAAATTTATTCGCTTCAACAGAAAATTTGGTTAATTCAATCAGAATTTAGTTGTTTCAACCAAAAGGTTGATTCAATCAGAATTTATTTGCCTCAATAAAAATTTAGTTAGTTCAACCAAAATTTGGTTATTTTAATCAGAATTTATTTGTCTCAATTAAAATTTATTTGCTTCAACAGAAAATTTGGTTAATTCAATCAGAATTTAGTTGATTCATCCAAAATTTGGTTGATTCAAAAATTCAGTTAGTTCAACCAAAATTTGGTTAATTCAATCAAAATTTATTCGCTTCAACAGAAAATTTGGTTAATTCAAACAGAATTTAGTTGCTTCAATCAAATTTTGTTGGATTCAATTAGAATTTATTTGCTTCAATAAAAATTTAGTTAGTTCAACCAAAATTTGGTTATTTTAATCAGAATTTATTTGCCTCAATTAAAATATAGTTACTTCAACCAAAATTTGGTTAATTCATTCAGAATTTATTTGCTTCAACTAAAATTTAGTTTATTCAATCAAAATTTATTTGCTCCAATAAAAATTTTTGTTGATTCAATCAGAATTTGCTTAATTCAATCAAAATTTTTTATGTTTTCGTACAAATTTTGTTTTATAAATAAATTTAATTACTATTTTAGCATATATGTAATTGATTATAAAATATAGAAAAAAAAAAAAAAAAAATTACCTTGATTATGAGCCGGTGCAGGGGTGGCAGCAAGTGGTGGTGTAGCATGTGATTGTTGGCTAGGTGGTTGATTAGACTGCGCAGGTGCAAGGGGCCATAAAGCCGTGGTTCCTGCCGATGACTGCTGTCCCCTTGAAACCCCTGTGTCCCCCACGGGACGACTGCCTGTCCCACCTTGGGCCACGGGAGGGACCAACATTGGACCACACCCCCCCGAGGCTGTAATCAAAAATTCAAAAATCATTACACATTTTTTTCATTAATTAATAATAATATTCATTATTGTAACTAATATTATTATTATTATTATTGTTATAATAATATAATATAGGTATCAATAAAATAATGTTAAAAATATAAATGCGTAAAATTTTGCCTATAAAATAAATGAAACGGGGTAAAAAAAAGATGATTTCGCGAATTATGTTATAAGAGGACGTAGCGCCAGCAGAAATATATATATATATATATTATAATCTAAAAAGTGTGTGTGAGTGTAAAAGAACGGCACGAGATGTCTATGTGTGTGTATATATCTTAGAAACTACATTATGCTCGTCGACCTGTTGCCTACCCCCTTCTCTCTCTCTCTTTTCATCTCTTCTTTTCTGGTGGCCCTCACATTCTCTCAACCAGCTCGGCACTCATCCCTCCTCTATTCCCTTACATACAATGAACGGAAACTCGCGCGTTTCGACTCATCGAAAGAGGACCTCTTTTATCTTCCTCTCTTTTTCTCACTTATATTGTATATATATAATATAATCTCATCCTCTTTCTTCTTATTCGAAATTCTCTTTTTTTTTTTTTCATTTTTCATTCCATTTTATGTGTCTCTCCCTTCTATTACCTTGTATGTATATATATTCTTTTTAAAATTCTTTTGTGTATAGGAAAAAGTATATAAATAAAGGAAGAGAGAGAGAGACGATAAATTGAAATTCAGTTTTAATGCAATTTTTTTTTTATTATGCAAGGGATATGAGTTTTTTTTACTAATTGTTGCAATTTTTTTGTTTTGGAAAAAAAAGTTCTTTGGAAAAATTTTTGAAAAGAGGAAACTGTAATTTAATTTATGAGAATTAGTTCACTAATATTCAAATTAGTAAAAAATTTCAAATCATATTTGGTTATTTTTTAGTAAAACTTTAGAAAACAAAAATATTACTAAATTAAATAGTAAATATTACTAATTTCAATAGTAATATTACTAAATTAAATAGTAAATATTACTAAATTCAATAGTACTATTAGGTACTAAATTAAATAGTAATATTTTACTAAATTAAATAATAAAATTACTAAATTAAATAGTAAATATTACTAAATTCAACAGTAATATTACTAAATTAAATAGTAAAATTACTAAATTAAATAGTAAATATTACTAAATTCAATAGTACTATTAGGTACTAAATTATATAGTAATATTTTACTAAATTAAATAGTAAATATTACTAAATTCAATAGTACTATTAGGTACTAAATTAAATAGTAATATTACTAAATTCAATAGTACTATTAGGTACTAAATTAAATAGTAATATTACTAAATTAAATAGTAATATTTTACTAAATTAAATAGTAATATTTTACTAAAAACTAAGAGAAAAATTTAAACCAGTTTAAAATAGTAAACATTTCTACTAATTAGTAAAAAAAAACTAAATCGATTATTAATATTTTACTAAAAAATTAATGTTTTTACTAATTTTTAGTTATTTTTTTTACTAGACCTTTAGTAATTAAATTTAAATATAGTAAAAATTAGTAGTTTAATCAAATATAATATTTTAGTAAAAATTTGTGAATATTTGTGTTAATTTTTAGTTATTTCTTTACTAAAATTTTACTAATTAAATTAAACTAAATTTTAGTACTCTCTAAATCTGAATTAGTAAAAAATTTTAACTAATTTAAATTAGTGTCTCCTTTTGAATTAGTAAAATTTAACTAATTAATAATAAAAAAAAATTTCTGTAACTAATAATTATAGTTAAATTTAACTAATTAATAGTAAAAAAAATTTCCTGTACTAATAATTATAGTTAAATTTAACTACAATAATTAGTACAGAAATTTTTTTTACCATTAATTAGTTAAATTTTACTAATTCAAGGGCAAAAAGTAAGACACTAATTCAAATTATTTAAAATTTTTACTAATTCTAATTTCCTAAAAACCTTGAGTACTTACTCTCTCAATTTGAATTAGTAAAAATTTTAACTAATTTGCGAGTTTGAATCAGTAACCTATTTTTTGCTTCAAATTAGTAAAATTTAATTACATATAACTAATAGTAAAAAAAATTCTTTTTGCTACCGAATTAGTAAAATAATTAACTAATTTAAAAGCAAAAAGTTAGTCACTAGTTCAAATTAGTTAAATATTTTACTAATTTAAATTTAAAGAGTATAAAACTTAAATTACATAAAAATTTTAAATATCCATTTTTGAAAGAATCACTGAAAAAAAAGTCTGGTTAAAATAACCAGAATTCTGGTTAATCTAACCAGAATAAAAAGTTATATATACCCTTACTACTTTTTCTGGTTAAAAGTACTAGAAAATTTGGTTAAAAAATTCTGGTTAATTTTACCAGAATTTCAAGTTAATCTTACTAGAATTTCAAGTTAATCTTACTAGAATTTTTCTAGTTAAAAATTTTTGGTAAAAAAATTTCTGGTTGATCTTACCAGAAATTCTAGTTAATCAGAGAATTAATTAAATTTATTATTATTATATTATATTATAAAATATTATAAAATATGAATTAAAAAAATTTGTATTATGTACATATAAATGCAATCAAACAATAACACCTTTACACTGCAATTCTCTTAATAATGTTTATTTAAATATGATTATTCAGAACTAAAATTCTGATAAAACGTGTCAAGCACGTTTTCAACATAACCTTCAAACTATTTTCCACACGAACGGGTTTGCCGTTCGTCAACAATTTTTTCACTTATATTATAAAATTAATTAACCAACCTTTAAACAGATCTTTTAATTCTCCCAAACTCCAATTTTCCAGAGCTTGGTTAACTTTTTCATCCATTCTTGCGATCCGCACGATAAACTATTCGAAAAAGAACAACAGACGCTATGCAGTGTCCGCGAACGCGCGTTTTTAACCAGAATTATTTTAACCAGAATAATTTAACCATACTTATTTAACTAGAACTGTTTAGTCTTTTTAACTATATTTTCTTGTTAAAATAACTAGAAATTTTTTAACCAAACGCATCTAGTAACTTTAACCAGAACTTTTTTTTCAGTGAAAGAACTATTTTCCAAAACCTGAATAAGAATAAGAATTGAAATAAGAATACCGTCATCTTATTAGCATAAGAGAGAAGAAAAAAATAAATGCCGAGCGGAAAATGAGAATAGGATTATTATGTATATATTATATTCAAATACATGGAAAAAAAATTATTTAGCAAACTTTTTTAAAATTTTTTTATTCAAATTTTCCTCTTCAATAGAACACGAATAATTAAGTAAAAAGTTTTCGAGAGAAAAAAAAGAGAGTGAGAGGTGTTTCGATTTAATTTAACAATATTTTTCAATCGCGCCTCGTTAACTGCTTTCAGTGAATCTAATCATAAGTAGGTATATATGCGCGCTGTATAATCGACATTAATAAACATAGTGATTACGCGTTTCCGCGACCACCTCTCTCTCTCTATATATATATACAACCTATATATTAGCGTCAAATTGTATAAAAAAAAAAGAAATAATTTTTTTTTCTTTCTTTCTTCACTGCTATATGCATATATTATATTATTTTCCATAAGGCTCATTTCCTTAAATATGAATTTTTTATTTTTTACATATATATGTGTTCAAGTCATGCACCCGAGCTTAATTCGTGAAACGCGTGATGTTTATACATATGCAGCTGCAGACTCATTTTAATTTTTGCTTTAAAAAAAAAAAAAAAAAAAAAAAAAACTAAACTCGCGAAAATAAATGAACTGAAAACCCTGTGAATGGTGCGAGAACACTTCATATGACGTCAATTTTTACATATATGTTTTATTTATGAAAGCACCTTTAAAGGACGTTTTGTATAATTTTTTTTTATTTATTATATGTTTACTCTCTAAATTTGAATTAGTTAAAATTTTAACTAATTTGAATTAATGACTAACTTTTCGCTTAAATTTTATTAATTGATAGTACAAAAAAATTTACTATTTAATTTAATTTTACTAATTCGATAGTAAAAGAAATTTACTATTTATTTAAATTTTACTAATACGATAGTAAATTTTTTTTTACTATTTAGTTAAATTTTACTATTACTAATTTTTTGTTACTATTTAGTTAAATTTTACTATTAATAATTTTTTTACTATTTAGTTAAATACTAATTTGAAAGTAAATTTTTTTTACTATGTATTTAGTTAAATTTTACTATTACTAATTTTTTGTTACTATTTAGTTAAATTCTACTATTAGTAATTTTTTTTACTATTTATAGTTAAATACTAATTTGATAGTAAATTTTAATATTACTAATTTTTTGTTACTATTTAGTTAAACTTTACTATTACTAATTTTTTGTTACTATTTAGTTAAATTTTACTATTAGTAATTTTTTTTTACTAGTTAGTTAAATACTAATTTGATGGTAAAAAAATGTTACTATTTAGTTAAATTTTACTATTAGTACTTTTTTTTACTATTTAGTTAAATACTAATTTGATAGTAAATTTTTTTTTAATATTTAGTTAAATTTTACTATTAATAATTTTTTTTTACTATTTAGTTAAATACTAATTTGATAGTAAATTTTACTATTAATAATTTTTTGTTACTATTTAGTTAAATTTTACTATAAGTAATTTTTTGTTACTACATATTTAGTTAAATTTTACTATTAGTAATTTTTTGTTACTATTTAGTTAAATACTAATTCGATAGTAAAAAAATGTTACTATTTAATTAAATTTTACTATTAATAATTTTTTTTTACTATTTAGTTAAATACTAATTTGATAGTAAATTTTTTTTTACTATTTAGTTAAATTTTACTAATTTGATATTAAAAATTTTATTTTTACTAATTACTAAAATTTAACTAATTCAAAAACAAAAAATAAGTCACTAATTCAAAATAATTAAAATTGTTACTAATTCTCCAGAGAAAGTATTATAAAAAAATTTTAAGCCTCGTGTTTAACGTTACTGGAATAAAAAAA